GTGCGGGGGCGATGCGGGGGCGGGGTTGCGGGGCCGGTGGCGGGCCTGCGGGGTTAGGCGGCGGGGTACCCGGGGCTGGGCGGCGGCGGGGGTCGTCCGGCGGTGGCGGGGTTGGATGAACCCCGCGGCGGGGGTCCGGGGTCCGCAGCCTAACACCGGCTTTGCCCCCGGGGTTCCCCGCTCGACAACGCTGCGCACTGCAATGGGTCGCATTGATCTCATCATCGCCTCGATTCGAGCATTGTGTTCCCGTTGCTCCTTTTTGCTCTCTTGAATCAGAGTAACCAATGTCTTGGTTAGTTCTAATAGGGCGGAAGACTCATTCCTCGTGCGGGGGTTTCGATTGGTGGCGGGGGTGCTACCATCACGGGCACGGGAACGCTCGTAATCGTACTCGGGACCGGTCGTTTGGGACCAATCTGTTCCAGATAGGTGACAGGGCCCGACACAAACCCCATGTTTTCAAATTTGTTCTGCAAGGCAGCTGACTCAACTTTAGATCTCGCTGGTTCGGACGAGTCTCCTTCCCTAGGATAGTCTTCTCCCTCTAGGAAACTCGCAGCGAACTTTCTTTCCATTTCTTCTGCAGCAGCCATGATCTGCTGCAGCGTGTGATTGATGGGGGAGAACTGTTTTCGCAGTTCCACCCTCATCGTTCTGCTTCCAAATCCGTCGATGAAAAAATCTCTTCCTACTTGCTCGCCTCGCTCTGTTTTCACAAAATTCGATAAAACCGATTTGGATATTCTGTGACAGACTCGAGGGGTTTCTGGACTCGATCTTTAATCATAAAAAGTGCTTGTTCCAGATGGATGTTATCAAACCTATTCAAAAAATCTCACTCGAAGGTCGGGAGATCCACCCATACATAGGTACTAAACCAATGATGAGTGTCCCCTCCTAATCGAGCGAGGATGTTCACTTGAGCTTCGTTGTCGTCGTACTGCTGAGCGCGGAGCGTGGCTAGCCATGCTCCAGCAAGATGATGCGCAGGATCACACAGATAGAGGTCAGGGGGCGTCATGGGAGCCCGTGCTCGTGGTGCTGGTTGATTAGGTTTCTGCTGGGGATTCGGGTTTTGTTGGGGGTTTTGCTGATAAGCATTCATATTGACCGTCTGCCGAGCCGCATACTGGGCCAATCATCTAATTACTCTGTGATCCCGCACGCACTCGTTCCTGAGCATGCAAGTTGCAGCAACAACAGTAGCTCAAAAGGGGATAAACAACAATGAAAGCAGTATTGACGACTACGCAAAAATTCCTACTATGCTTATGATTGTATCAAAACGAGAAGCAAAGGCAAGGATCAGGCAAAAAGACACGCAACAGACATGGCATTCATTCATCCATTCATTCGACAAAACACGCGACAAACGAAATCGAGATCAATCGCAAAACGAGTGTGGGCGAAAGCCAAGCCAAGATTCCGAAAACAAAAGGAGACGGGCGAATCGCCCTGAGCCGAGATCAAAATTTATATACAAAAGCAAAGAGGGAGAAAAGACAAAGAAAACTGCAAATCTACACCCATCAACCTCAGCTCCCTCTTCCTCTCTCTCTCTTTCTGATGCGGACAGTCCGTCGTCATGCACCAACCCACGAAGTCGTCACCCAAGTTAGTCCTCCTGCACCCGTCAGGTTCGCCCGTGCGCTACAGTCCGTCGTAGCCCCACGCGTCAACCCCGCGCATTCGGCACCAGCTCGTCGGGTCGCCCGACTCCCACTTCAACTCACCTCTTACTTCGCTCGTGAGCCGACCCTCACGGATCGCGCTACCCCGAGCTTCCAACAGCTGGTTAAGAGAGCTATCTAATCGCGCAGCCGGAATTTATAGCGTGCATGCATGCGCGAAGAACACGGAATTGCAAGGACTAAGAAAGGAGATTAGGAGAGAGAGCCTTTGCGTTCTGCATGGCCAAATCGTGGCGTGGGGGCCGTAGCCACTCTCCACGCATCGATCCGAGCATGCAGGCCGCGGGCTAGCTAGACACATCAAGAGAAAAAGCGAGGGCGGGAAAGACAAAGTTCAAGAAGAAAGATACAGTTACAATGACGCCCACGAAAAATTAAAGTTACACACACGATTAAGGGCGCCAACTAATCAGAGTTTTGTTGCAGCCGCAAAAAGAAGCGCGTAAGCAAAAAGCGCTGCGCGGCAAAAAAAATCCCGAGTTCCTAAATTTCTACATTCCTAGCTAATGCAAAAAGAAGCACAAATGCCGAAAAAAAATCCGAGGTTCCGAGAGCCGCCTAGAGCTTGACAAGATTCGAAAAAGAAATTCAAAAAGAACGAAACAAAATTTTTGTGCGACTTCCTCACCTAAATCCGACAACATCACAGAAAAAAAGCGACGTCAATCATTATTAATTGCGCCTGGTCGACGCGACAGTCACTCAATCGATCATCCCGGGACTCGCCCGGCGCTGCACCCAATCATCTGAAAAGAGACGACGCAAAAAAGACGAAGAAACGAGGACACCAATGCAATTTCCCTTTAATCCCAATCTCTCGTAGTTGGCCCATCCTTCCCAGCTTAGGACCCCCTATTGCTATCGCGTAGAAAATCGCGTGGAACAGAAATCGGCTCGTCACAGTGCTCCACATGCACCATCGACGAATAGGTTTTCTGAACAAGGAAACCGCGCCTATTTTACAAGGGAGCATCTGAAGTTGATTAAAAAATGGAAGACAAGAGATGAGATTGACGAGGCAAAGATAAAGGAAGTCACTGAATCAGGTGGAGCCAGTGCTGGGCGACCGAAGAAAAAGAACAAGAAGAAAAGTGGAAGTGACATGGAGAGTAGCGAGGAACATATTAAATTGTGGTTGTCGAGGGAATTCAACTCATCCTTGAAGAAGATCAATCAGAAATTGGATAAGACGGAGAAGATGAAGAAGAAGATCGTGGAGCCCGAAGGTGAAATAGAGGGAAAGGGAAAAGGGAAAGGGAAAAGAGAAAGATGGCGGGATTAGCAAAAAGAGAAAAAAGGATGTTAATTTACCTGCATTTAGCAGACTGAAGCCAAAATCACGGAGTGGTGGAATGAAGGACGACAACCTCGAATCATGATATCGTCCGATGAGGAGGATTACAAAGGAAAGGGGCGGATGAAAAATGTGAA